TGATGCCATGGCACGCTACCGAGGGCTACAAAGTCAGACTCTGTCTCAAAAAAAAAAAAAAAAGAAAAGAAAGAAAGAAAGAAAAAGAAAAAAAATGACCTTTCAGTTACAAGGAATAATATTACCAGCCCCCCCAAAGGACTTTGATTAAATGTGGGTGTTCCCAAGGTTCCTGAGCTACAAACCTGCACACTTGGATTACTCTTAACTTGTCCATTGCATGTGTTGTTCTTTAACGCATTTAATAAAGAAGCCTGTGCACAACTATATTACAAGTGTGAGGGTTGTAATGTTTTTATTGTGGGAAAATATACATTACATAAAATTTGCTATTTTCACGATGTTTAGATATGTATTATCCATTTTTTTTGAGACAGAGTATCAGGCTGTCACCCTGGGTAGAGTGCCATAGTGTCACAGCTCACAGCAACCTCAAACTCAAGGGCTTAAGCAATTCTCTTGCCTCAGCCTCCTAAGTAGCCGGGACTACAGGTGCCCACCACAATGCCTGGCTATTTTGTTATTGTTGTCATTGTTGATTTAGCAGGCCCCGGCCAGGTTCAAGCCCACCAGCTTCAGTGTATGTGGTCAGTGCCCTACCCACTGAGCTATGGGTCCCGCCCCATCCATTACATTTTCATTCGTCCTTGTTCCACCTTGGAGTTGTTAGGGCATTTTTCTATGGGTTGACCACAAAGACACAGATCACTTTTGTGCCAGTGGCTTCCAATGTCCTACCTGGGCTGTCACTTGTCGGGGCCAGGGGGCTGGGCTTATCTATCCTCCAGAGGCAGACTGCTGTGCTATCTTGCTGGGGAACAATTACCCATAGATGCCTGAGGGCTATTTGCCTTAGCAGAAGAGAGAGAGAAAGACTGTTTCTGAGGGATAGAAACAGACTTAATAGGAAAGTAAATCTCAGCATTCTTCTTAGACAGGCCTCGGGGGAGGGGCTATCCAAGCAGGAGAAGGGAAAGAGTCAGTGAGGGGGTCAGTGAAAGAATGAGCACTCCCCAACTGTCTTCTCCTGTAGCCTCTTATAGACGGTGATCCAATCCGGTAGCTACTTACACCATAGGCATAGTGACTGGCAATCACTGATGTTCTCATAAGGTGTTACATTACTGAGCTATTACAGGTGTTTCTTAGAACTCTCGCTTCTCCTTCCTGGGAAGCAATACGGTGATCTGCTACACTTTTGGACTCAGGAAATCTGTATCTACAAAAACTGAATCTTTATTAACATTCTCATCTAATGTCAAGATGTCAAATTTTTTGTTTGTTTGTTTGGGGGGGGGTTGCAGTTTTTAGCTGGGGCTGGGTTTGAACCCACCACTTCCAGCATATGGGGCAGGTGCCCTACTCTTTTGAGCCACAGGCGCTGCCCTTTTTTGTTTTTTGAGACAAGTCTCACTTGCCCTCAGTAGAGTGCTATAGCATCACAACTCAGAGCAACTTCAAACTCTTGGGCTTAAGCGCTTCTCTTGACTCAGCCTCCAAAATAGCTGGGACTACAGGCGTCCGCCACAACTCCTCGTTATTTTTTTTTTGTTGCAGGTGTCATTCTTGATTTTAGCTGACCAGGGCCGGGTTTGAACCCGCCAGCCTCGGTATATGTGGCCAGCACCCTACCCACTGAGCTATGGGTACTACCTGCAAAAAATGTTTTATTTCCTGGCCAATTCTGATCTAAAAATGTAAGGGATAAGACGAACTATCTGTAAATGTCACCCAAGAGACTGGTTTGCAGGTGTGTGGCTAAGTCCACACTTAGCATATAGAACAAATGCTTTTCAAATTCAAATCCTTATTCTAGAAAAATATAATCTAGAAAAAGGAAAAGATATGTTTGCTAAGGATGAGAACGGTGACTTACAATGTAAAATTATAAGATGTCAGGAAAAAGCAATGAAGATAGTAAAGACCACCAAAACTGTGTATTGAAATAGGCTTGAAGTAATTTTATGAATGTTACCTTGACTATTCAAAAGAGTCTAAATGTACTTTCTACTCTTTTGTTTTTTCTTTTTTTGAAGTTTTTGGACGGGGCTGGGTTGGAACCTGCCACCTCCGGTATATGGGGCCAACTCCCTACTCCTTTGAGCCACAGGCACCACCCTATACTTGCTACTCTTTATAAAGTTATGAAATTAGAGAAAAGAACTAACCTTATAAATAAATAACCATATTTTCTAGCCACAAAAACAAGACTTATGGTTTGATAAGAGACTTTCTTTTGTATGGTCATGGGTATAACAAAAAATCTAGAAGCAATTTGGATGCCAAAATATTAGAATTCCTGGAATATTTCCTTGGATCAATGGGATAACAGAATATTTTAAGCAGATTTGTTCTGAAAATCTAAAATTTACAGCAATACATTCTTTCTATCACATTGTCACACACTGTTGATGACAGTATAAATTGGTACCTCTTTGCTGCAATACAGTATAGCAACAGGTACTCATTCATTCATTCACTAATTATTTACTGCATACTGTGTGTTGGAACCAGTTCTAGGACCTGTATATGTAACAGTGAACAGACTAATAAAATGCCCTGACTTCACAGAGCTTAGTAACAGAGTTAACTATAACCATTGCACTTCTAGAATTCTAAAGAAATAATCATTAATGTACAAAATGGTTTCGTTACAAAGAAGTTTATCATGTTTTTGATAGTAAAAAAACTGAAAGTCACCTAATTGTCCAATAAATCATGATATAGCTATACAAAACAATGCCAGAAAGTTATTAAATGATGTTGTAAAAGAACATTTCAAACAAAGGAATAATGTTCCCAAGCTACTGTTAAGACGAAAAGCAAGCTCCTCCCTCCAACTGCTAAGAAGTATGGGGTAACTTTATGGAGTTGTTCTAAACTTGGTTTTGATGGTAGCTGCACAAAATAAAGATTTCTATGAAAATGTATTGAATTGTATACTTAATACGGATGAATGTAACTGTATGTAAATCATACCTCATGACGCTGTGAAAAAAAGAAGATAGCATTTTTTTCTGAAATTGTTTTAAATTAAAAGTTATTTCTGGGGTGGCGCCTGTGTCTCAGTGGCTATCGCACGGGCCCCATATATAGGGTGACCAGACCTCCTGGTTTTTAACAATTTGTCCCGTGTCCCACGGCATTTTAAAAAAGTCCTGATTTGTGGAAAGAATGCACAAATGGGAGAAGAACAGTAAGGGAATATACGGTTTTCGGCTGCCATGTGGCTATTTCACCAGGATATGAGTTTTATATTATTTTTGTTAATTTTATAATTTTAAACTGTAATAACAAATAATTGTTGAGAAGTGATTATCGAGAACTGCTTATCAAAGTTTGCATTGTTGTCAGGCCCCGCACCCCGTATAATGGTGTCCCGTTTTACCAATGTTAAAATCTGGTCACCTTACCCATATACTGAGGGTGGCAGGGTCAAATCCAGCCCCTGCAAAACTGCAACAAAATACAGCCGGGCGTTGTGGCGGGTGCCTGTAGTCCCAGCTACTCGGGAGGCTGAGGCAAGAGAATCACCTAAGCCCAGGAGTTGGAGGTTACTGTGAGCTGTGATGCCATTGCACTCTACCAAGGGAGATAAAGTGAGACAGAGTATATAAAAAAGATATATATATATTTCCGTGGCTGGGTTCCTGTAGCTCAGGAGCTACAGTGCCAACTACATACAACAGAGCTGGCGGGTTGAAATCCAGCCTGGGCCTGCCAAGCAACAAGGACAACTGCAATGAAAAAATAGCCAGGCATTCTGGTGGGCGCCTGTAGTTCCAGCTACTTGGGAGGCTAAGGCAAGAGAATCGCTTAAGCCCAAGAGTTTGAGGTTGCTGTGAGCTGTGATGCCAGAGCACTCTACCCAGGGTGACAGCTTCAGACTCTGTTTCAAAAAAAAAAAAAAAAAGTTATTTCTGGCTGGGCGCAGAGGCTCATATCTGTAATCCTAGCACTCTGGTAGGCCAAGACAAGTGGATTGCTTGAGCTCACTAGTTCAAGACTAGCCTGAGCAAAAAGCAAGATCCCAGTCTCTAACAAAAATAGAGAAAACTAAGGCAAGAGGATCACCTGAGCCCAAGAGTTGGAAGTTGCTATGAGCTACTATGATGCCATGGCACTCTACCCAGGGTAACAGCTTCAGATTCTATCTCAAAAAAAAAAAAAGTTATTTATAAAAA